CTGATCGTAGGATCGTACGATCCTACGATCCTATGCATGAAAAACGATATGAATCGTAAAATGATCGTATTTGGGGTAAAATCGCATGTAGGATCGTAGGATGGAGATCCGATCCGATCCTACCTTCCTTTGATTTTTTTTTTTTTTTTTTTTTTTTTTTTTTTTTTTGCAAATGAATTTTTTTTTACCATTTTATGTCTTTTACTCTTTACCATTTATCATTTTTTATTTTGACTTATGACTAATATTTCGAAGTTTTTATAACTTTTGAACGAAAAAAATAAATGTTTGAAATATTTTTCATAATTAAATATTATAAATTAAAATTGTATTCTATTTTGTGGGATCTTAGGATCTCGATCCCGATCTTATGATTTTGATTAGGTAGGATCCCGATCTTGACAACCTTGATCATTCCACATGGGTAGTTCCGTAGGGCTCTGCAGAATTTACTATAGCTCTGCGAATGACAAAATCGTAAATAAATCAATGTATTAAAAAGAACACTAAAGATCCATTCCGCGGAGCTACCTCCGAGGAATGAACTCATTCCGCAAAGTTAGCTCAGATGAATGGATCTTTAGTGTTTTTTTTCACATCGATTCTTCGAGGTTTATATTCATTCCCTCAACTAATTATTTTTAAGAAAAAATTATCATACTATTATAATCTTTATTTGAAAATAATTAGTTGGGAATTAATATAAACCTCGAAGAATCGATATGGAAATGAAAAAAAACAAAAAAAAAAAAAACAAAACTCAAGATCCATTCCGCAGAGCTACAGTAGATTTCGCGGAGCTCGGCGGAGCTACCTCCGCGGAATGCATGTCTATATCCGAAAATATCTATTTTTGTGTATATATTTTGAAAAAACCCTATTTTTTTACTATTGCTTATATTTTCCCATATTTTTTTGGTGACCTGGTTTTCAGGGAGGGTTTAGGGCCCATTTCTTTTTTAAAAGGAAATAATAATTTTAATAATAAACAAATCAATAAATAATTAAGATATAACAAATAAATAGAAAAGAAATCAAAAAGGAAATAAATAAGGGCAAAATGGTCTTTTATGTCCGGAGGGATGAAACGTATAAGATTTAAACTAACGATTGACGGTCCGAGTTAATTTTTAAAAATAGAGACCGAACGTGCATTTTGACACTTACATGACGGATGAATTGTGTAATTTACTCGAATAAGTTACAAAAGTGTCCCTATACTTTACAAAAAAAGGTCCATGTGTAGTTTGTTTTATAAAAATGGCTCATGTATTTAAATAGCATACACCTTAGGTTTGAAATTTTGGCCAAAACACTTTTATGTGTTGACAGATTCTGTCTCTTTGTAGAAAAAAAATTACAAAACTATTTGTGTAGGTAATTTATAGAAAAATTCTACAAGCAAAAAAAATATATTAATAAAATAAAATTACAGTAAATGGTCCATATGTTTACAAAAAAATAGAAAAATGATCCCTTTCTTAATAAAAACTAAAAGACTAAGGGTCCATATGTTTATAAAAATTAGAAAAATATCCCTTTCTTAATAAAAACTAAAAGAATAGGGACCAAATTCTTAATAAAAAATAAAACAGATAGTCCAAAACTATAAAATAAATAAATAAATAAAATGATGTGTGAGAATGTGAGATAACCAAAGTCATAATAAAAACTGCAACAGTTGGCCAAATCTATATAAAAAAGTTAAGGAACCAAATTTGTAAATAATATTAAAATTCTTAGCGAAAACTATAAAAATGAAAAGTGATAGATCACAAAGTAAAAATTAAGGACCAAATTCTTTTAAAAAAATTAAAAAGATGGGTCAACTGTACAAAAAAAAGTAAGGGATAAGATTGGAGAAAATAAATTGGGAGGTCATTTTTCCATGTTGCAAATTATTATAGGCTTTATCTTTCTAATTGACCTATCTTTTTCGCACTTGAAATTAAAGATTTGGAAGTGATATCATGGTAAAATTTATTGCAAAGTACGGAACCATTATACATCATTATTAGGGGATGTCAAAAAGTATTTATTAAAAAAATCTAAGCAGAAACAAGGTTAACCTTCGTTTTAATTTTAGGGGTTGGGACGGGGCGGAGGTGAACAATCTGATTGCATAGCGTGTACAATCAGCTAAATATTGTCGTCGTGTACGTTGTTTAGAACAAATGTATAAATTTCGTCAAACTCAAGACATTTTATTCTCATATCACGAAACTTCGAACATATTTCATCAACATTACGACTTTGAGAACCCATTAACTCATGGAAAACATTTGCAACTTTTACCCAAAATCATTAGGCATTTAAGTATCGACCTCTTCCACCACCGACACCCAAGCTAGTGCCAAATTATCTTCTTTTTTTTTCTAACCAATTCATTATTTTTGGAACCATTCATTGTGAATAAAATGATAGAAGAATTGTGTGTAAAACTAAAGAAAAATTATGGTATTTATAGAAGATTTTAGGAGTGTTTGAAAGGTAAAAATTAAAAAATAAATAAATAAATAAACGTTACATTTTAGCCGTTACTCACAATCAATGAAGCAAAAAAAATTATTGGTCGTTTATAATCATGATGTCCACCACGAATCATCACGAAAAACCTTCACCACGAACGATCAGGCTGGTGTGCACGGTCGTTGTTTGTAATCACCTCAATCACCGACTGGTTCGTAGAGAGTATACCGGTAGGTCTTATCATAACAAGATCATCCAATTACAGGATATTTCATTATTATAACAGATAGATAGTTTAAAATATGATGTTATAATAAGAGAAATATCAAGAGTAAAGTGCGATCATGTGTTTTATAAAATACACATCTTATACTTGAAATGTAGTTTCGTATTTTAGTCGGGGCTAGAGCATCTTCAATAAGTTTATGATTTTATTTTGAAGTTACTTGCTCTTAAAATCATTGGATCATATAATTTGTTTGTTTATTTTTATTAACCATTCAATATATATTGAATGTGCAATATAATTTTGTGTTTAGTACATTTAACCTTTCATTTTTTAATTATATTTTATTTTACCCCCCTTGGTTTATATTTTATTTTATTCTCTTATATTTGTTATTTCATAACTAATTAATTATTTTATTAAATAGTCCAATTATGAAATATAGAGTTTATATCAATTATACAACATTTTTAATTCTTTTTTTATTTTTATAATTATGAACTAATATTTTTTTTTTCGTATTTTATCTATATAAAATAAAGATTCGGCATAGTTATACTTATATTTTTGTTTGTTTATAACATTTTGGATATAATGCATGTTTAAAAAGGGACTAATTAAAGAAAAATATTTTATAGAACTTTTTAGATAGATAAAGATAAATTAGTTAAATTAAATAAATAAATAAATAAAAACCTATAGGAAAAAGTTAACTCTTAAAGATAACCATTTAATTAGAGGTTAAAATCAAAAGAATGATAAGTTAATAATTTTTTTAAGTTATAATATAGTTTCATCATTGGAAATACTCTTTCGATGTTGGTCATTTTGATCCCATAATCGAAAAGTTGAAAGATCTTGTATATCCAAGAGTTATTATAGAATGATATTGTTAATAACAAATAATTTTATAGGATCACACATTATAGCAAGTTACCATCAATTGATTATTTATTAGTATAATTTAATTATTAATAAATATATCAACATTTGTATATAATTATAAAATTATTATTTTATAAAAATAATATTTTACCAATTAGGAATTTATTATTTATGGAAATAATATTAATTGGAGAAATAACAACTTAAGAAATAAATATATCATAAAGTATATTTATATTTTAATAAACTAGTTAGAATTTATTTATATAAAAGGTACTTTTATATATATATATATATATATATATATATATATATATATATATATATATATATATATATATATAGTTACATGTTATATATATCATAGTAATCACTTTATATAGCTGATAGTCTTTTATATAAATTTGGTATATATATATATATATATATATATATATATATATATATATATATATATATATATATATATATATATAACATCTAGTCATGAGCTTGAGTGTGGAACATTTTTGGTCCCATTCTTTATTCATGGCCTAAAATCTAAGGAGACAAAACATGTGGTGTATTTATTTGTTTAATCTTCATATCATGCTTGTAAGAGTGTCATACTTCTTACTTTATTGACTTGTTTTTTGTTCCTGTTCTTAAATATAAAAGAAAGACGTGAGAAGTAAATTGATCTTTTTGCACATGAAAAATGCTCTTTTTGGCTGCCAAATTTCATTGATAACATGTTATTCCTTTTCTTTTTCTTTCTTCCATTTAGTGTTAGAAATTAAGGTCTTGAATGTTTTTCTTTAGGCATATTTTGGAATATGTCTTCTAACTTAAGAAAATTTTAGTAAGTGTCATACTAGGATATTATGGTGGTTTCAACTTGTTTAGTGGATGTTTCTAGAGAGTTTTTTCTTTGAAGTTTAAAGTCAACTTCATCAATTTTTTAATTATCAAAATGAACAAAAGTCTTGTAATGTTTTCCTTCTATAGTTGTTTTAATCTTTTTAAGTCTTGCAAAATGATTTTTAATGAAAATAAAACTAATTTAATTTTGTTCAAATCTTAAATCTTTTGTTGCTATGTTTATTTTTTGAAATAATTTTTATATAAAAACACAACAAAAGTAATTGTATATTTTGCATGTAAAAACAATTTTATTAACAAACTTTATTTATAACAATTAAACCCTATTTTGGTGTGGTTGTAATGCATTCCCCTTCATAATCAAGCTAATAACTATTAAAATAATATAGTATGTATTGTAGAAAATATTCTAAATAGATGATGTAACATTATGTTCTGTATCCTCTAACGTAAAAGAAATTTATATTCCATTAATAAAAAATAAAAAGTAAAAAATTGTATGACATTAACCATTTAAAAAAATTGTTTTTTCATGAGCTATATATAATTTTTTTTTTTTGACAAACACAACAAAGTTGTGAATCAAAAACAGTAGGTATCAATAGTTTCTGATTTGTCCCCAGGCAAAAAAAAAAAAATAGAGCATCAAAAACTTTGATACATCGTAAAGTTACTAAAATCTCTTAAAAGAAGAGTAGTATACCGCGGATTTACAACCGAACCGAATCTGACATCCACATACATAATACATTATGCCACATGTTTAACTAACTATATAATTATATACAAACTCAACCCAACCACCTTACAATTTATAAACCCCCAACACTATCAACTAATTAACCATTGTAATTCCCTTTACATAAATTCATTCATACCACCTTCAGACGTTGAGGCTCCTTCACTTTGCAAATCTCCTCGTTGCGCCTGAAAAAGTTGGTCAAATATTAAAAAAAATGTTGTTATTGTCAATAATATAACAGTAAACATTTATTTATAAATAGAAGAAAAAAAAAGACAGATTGTTATGTTATATTGGTGAGACCTTGGCTAGGCGATATTTGTGAAGCATGCGATGGTATTGCTGCCTTGCTGGTTGAGATTGGACCATAGAAAGCACCCTGGAGACAGCTTCGGTTAGAGCCGCATCCACTTTCTGCTTCCTAAGTGCCTTCACAAAGTCTTCTTCTTCACCAATAATCGAATCCACATGAAATCCCCGTAACCCCGCTCCTTTCCTGTACCACCTCAACACAATTTTCTCCACTATCCCAACCGCCCAACAGATTGTTTCGTAATTCTTCCTTGCCTGATAGCCTCTCACATGTGCCTGCCAACCATTTAAAAAAAAAAAAAATTATATACTTAGTTGGTTGGTTAGTTAGTTAGTTTAGTTAGTTTAGTTAGTTAGAGAGAGAGAGAGAGAGGACCTGTATCTTGACAACTTTCTGTCGAAGTGCAAGGAAATCCTTGCGACCTTTCCAACCACGATATTTCTTCTGGATAGACAAAGCTGCTGCATGATGAAGATCACGATCACGTGAATTTGAATTTCCAAACACCGCCTTGGAAGCTGTTGAAAGTCCCTGAATCTCACTTGGGAGAATACCATACTCATCCTCTACTTCAGCTGCTGATGCTGATGCTTCAGCAGCAGCTTCCCTCTGTTTCCTTTTCTTAAAAGAATGTGCCCTGAAAGCGGCCTGTATACGTGCAGCAGCCTGAGCCGCGTTCCTCACAGCAGCTAACGTGGACTTGAGGGACACCTGATCCTTGGTGCTATCCAGGTATGAGTCTGAGATGCTATTTACTGTTCTTTCGGCTTCCACGTCAGCAGAGCCTTTAGAGAGTTGGCTTTCTTGGAGGGTGAGGGATGAAAGATGGGCAGTGAGAGCCATCTCTGAGAGATAACCTGCAAGGCCTTGGTGCCCATATTGGGCTGCGATGGATGCAGGGGTTTGTCCGTTTGGATCCTGCTGACATGGATCTGTTACTGCTCCAGTGTTTGCTCCACAGGCTAAAACCTCGGCTACCATCTTTTCCCTGTTGCAACATTACATTACAATTGAATGGAAGGGATGAAATTACACATATAAACATATGTTGTTTGTTTTTGTATGATTAGAAACTTAAAATTACCTTCCAAAACGAGCAGCCCAATGAAGGGCAGTCCAGCCACTGACGTCGCGGAAATTGATCCCAACACCAGCTTTAAGTATAGGTGTCAAGGCCCACACGAAGCCCAATCCAGAAACCATGTGTATTAACTCTTGTTCTTTTTTTGACAAGGTGGGAAGGGCATTTTCGTCCATACATCTATTGGAAATCCACCTTTGGAACTTGTCCTTTAGAAGTTGTTCTAGAAGCCAATCTGTTGTTTTAGAAGATGCTAGACTTCCGTCTGAAAGAGCGTCAATGACTTGACCCCATGAGTCTTCTTCACCAGCAGCTATTGAACCTTCCGGAAGGTCGGTTATGGTGTTTTTGGTATCGGATACTAGTAACAAGCGCACAAATTTGACAAGTAATAAGAGTTCCTGGTGGGTCCTAGTTGATTCGTTCTCTGTTAAGCTGCTTGGTTTATCTTTATCTTTAGGACGATACTCAAACTCCCTGACCTCACTACAAGCTTCCCGGTTGCCAGAAGTGATACAGATGGTAACTTTTCCAGGTAAATGAGGTGGGGCCCGGCAACAGATGACTCCTTCCTGAATGATCTCAACAGGAACTTCAGTGTCACCAAACATACAACAAATCCATTCAGAATCTTCTACTGATGGATCACATGTAAAACTCCCAACTATCAGTACCTGCACAGGGTCCAAGGAAAAATTATTCCTCAACAAACTTAAAACTATTCTAGGAGGGTTTGTGTATCAACATTCAACACAACCCTGGAAAAGTTTCTAATACAAGTTTAAAGGCATTTATACCTTTGTTGTCTCAGTTGCATAACCCCAGTCTGGGGATATTTCACGAATTGTAAATTTCTGCTCTTGTGCAATGGTTAGACTTGAATCTGATGCGAGTGGCGTTTCAATTTGACCTAGGTCAAACAATGTTGAGTATACGTCTGCATCACTTTGGTACATGTTGTTTGCAGGGACATATTTGGGAAATGTTGAAATTTCAACTTCTTGAGATGCCAATATGGATGCTGGAAACACAGTATAGTTGTCTTGTCAGAGATTCATTGTTTCAGTTGGTTTACTATTTTAGAATCCATTCCTTTGCAAAAAGAAACACTAGACTTACACTCATTACTTGCACCATTATCTGTCCTTGGTTGAGGCAAAAGCACTTCCTGTTTCAAGAACAACATAACAGTGAGTGAACATACTCAAATAAGGTGTGAACTGCAAACAACTATATAAATTAACAAGTGAGGATATTAAAAGGATTATTCAATCAACAAGATAATAGATAGAGAGAGAGGTGTGAACATGTTTAACGTGTAGGTGCAATCCTTTAGCACAAAAAAAAAAAAAAAAAAAAAAAAAAAAAAAAAGTAAACAACTGAGGCATAAGTACAATAGGAGGGAGTAGTTATCAAATAAGCTTACATTTTCATCTAATGGGTATCCGTAAGACTCCAGGGAACCAACATATGTTGTACTCTCATTGTATTTTTGCATGTCCTTCCAAAATAAAGTTTGTTGACTTGGAATAGCAAATTCATCCTTGGGTAGAGACACATAATTATCTGAACCATATTGCAACCTTTCAGATCCACCAAGATCTTGCTCACTGATTGTGAATCCTAATTCATTTGCATACTCATTCTCGCTATAAAACGTGCCAATATCTTTCAAGTGGTCCAAACTCAACTGCTCTTCAAGCTTTCTTAATGCTTGATTAATTTCAAAATCAGGTGAACCATCAATACTTTCTGTTTGATTGAAGTGAGTTGCCCCATTGGATGTGATAACAAGATCTGGACTAACTTCCACAGAACTGGGACCAGATGTGCTGTTGTAATGCTCATAATATTCAGAAGCAGATGTGGTGTAGGAGTTGGAACCCTGAACGATGTTAGAAGATCCCAACATCAAGGTCGAAATGGGCCCCGCACTATGCTTACCCTGCAAAATTATAAATGCATCTTATAGAAGCTCCAAAAAAAAAAAAAAAAAACTCAACAGACTTACTATGGTTATATCCCTGTAATGAACAAGTACAATATGCTCCATACCCCTGTCATCAGAAAATCAACTGTAAGGGGTTGTTTCTTTTTCTTTCCCCTATAAACTCTTGTATGGGTAATGATGTATGTTTGAATGATGGCAAATGACCAATTTACCTTTATATTCTAACACACAATTTTCGCAATGCACGGCAATTGACAATATTATCAATTTGAAAGTGACAAGTGGTGGGAGGAAAAATAAAGGTTATTTTTTTGGCTTAACCCATTAAGTTAATTCTGTCCAGACTAAGTCAAAAAGAAATAGTCATGTACAGCTGTGTTTGACAGTTAGCATACAGGTTTGAGGTGGTGGAGTGGAGTATACTTACGGATCCAACATCCAATAAGAACGCCTCTGGAAATTTGGGTTCTGTTCGCCATGTGCATAGTAACAGCTTAAAGCTTCAACATTTCCAACCTAAGCAAAAAGGTTGAATCATTTGGTAAAAGATGGAAGCCTCCTCTATTTGCAGTTAAAGAACAACACAAAAGGATTACAATTTACAACCAAAAGGGTAAAAGGAAAAACCTTTAGACGTTCATGCGCTTCCCCTACATTTTTTCCATCCTTTTTTCTTCGCCAACTATGACCATCTTTACGGAAAAAACGAAGGACCCTCTTGTTAAAAAGAAACACAGAGCCACCTGTCCAAGATTTTAAATCAACAAGATCCATGGAATATCAGGAAACAATATATATATATATATATATATATATATATATATATATATATATATATATATATATATATATTAATGAACATATAAAAGCAAAGGCAGAAAATTACTGGGAGGCTTTTGAGGGGGCTCATGGTTAAGCTGCTTTTCCTCAAAATTCTGCAGTATGAAAAACACCTCTCCTGGCCTTAGCCAACGGTATTGTGCTTCTTGAATTAGATCCTGGAGGTTATACCCTGAGAATTCATAAAATAAAAAAGGAAAAAGTGAAGTAACACTGATAGCAATATGAAGGCCATATTAATACCACTCATGTGACAAAGTATCATAGACACCTGAAATCATGCACAGGGTCAACTTCCTTATAACAGTCGATTATAACTTAAAGTCTTGTAAGAACAAATATCTCACATGATAACAACCATAGACTACCTATTTGTCTCTCCCTTTCAGATTCTGTCCCCTATTTCCTCATGTAATAAAAAAAATAATTATTATTTAGAATGGCAAGTCTAACAAAGGACCTATGTCTCATCTTTAAATCCTTCTTTATATCGTGTAATAATGTATTTATCCAATCTTTTTGGTTCCTAATTAAATATCACAAAACATAGCTATTGTGGTTTCACCACAAATGCTTGTTTTTCAAAATACAAAAACATGATTGTTAGAAGTTGTTTAGATGTTATGAACAACTTACTGCCTCGAATTTCAATAAAAAATAATTAAGCCCAAGCCTATGGTGATGCTAATTGCAGGAGATAATGTTAAATTCTCCAGAATTTTTGCAGATTGTTGGTTCATTCACATGACATGGAAGTAACAGCTTAATTTTTCGAATTGTGTGAGATTAACAATGCGAGTAAAATTAAGTCATCCATGAACTAAAATACGAGTACGAATCCACGTAATACACACAATTTCCCTCCGCATAAAAATCACCAGGATAAAACCTAAACGAAGCATAGGGATATAGGCAATAATCCACAAATGGGAAAAAAAAATCAATTAAACCTAAAAGGTCAAAAAAACAGAACAGTACCTGACATCATCATCCGTGTATATTCAACACAAAATTTACTAAACGAGTAACAGATTCCAATTAATCCAGCAAATTAACATAAAGCTTTGAACGAAGTTCTGCAACAGTAAGCAAGTTGGGCGAACGGCGGAATAGATCTAGCACTGCTGGAGAAACTACGATCCATAGTTTCAATCAAGAAGTTAATCTACAAACTTGAGATAACGAACGTCGGTGGAAATCGACAAAAACTATAAAACAGATAGACGAAATACATACGTTTTTGTTGACTGAAAGAAGCGGTAGGTGGTTCCAACTTCCATGAATTAGTATATGGCCAAGTGCGAAGTGGGTTCCAGATTCGCAGTGAAGGAGGGCCAGAAAACGTTAAAAACGAAAACATCATTCTCGCTGTGTTCAAACTGAGTAATGAGTGCAAACGTTTTTTATCCAATTTTCCAGTTCTTTCCCAAATCAACTTTATTTTTTCTACTGACTGTTATACTATTTTAGTTTCCAATTTAAATTTTTTATATTTATTTTAATAGTTTTTTAACATAAAATAATAAATAAATAAAATCAACCCCACTTCCACCACCACCCCCCTTCTCTCTCCTTCTCTCACTTTGGTGTTGTTTGTTTTTTCTGAGGCAAAATGTCTGCAGTTTGTGGATCACATCTGTAGACCTCTGCAGTAGAAGAGGTGGACCAAACGTCTGCAGTCTGAAAAAAAAAGACTGTTTGTTTTTTTAACATCTGCGGGCTATTAAAATAAACTGAAATCTAAATAAACTGATTTTTTAAAACTTCAAAGCGAATTTTTTATATATTTTTACGACTTTATTATAAATATATAACGAATCTAGATCAACTTTTATGTATTATTATATAAAAAATAAAAATAAAAATGGTATTAATTCATATACATATTTGATAAAAACCAACAACTTTGATTGCAAAGTTATAACTAAACATTATAATTAGTGACCAAAGAATTTGATACATAAATAGATGGAAATAAACTTCGATTTTTTCAAATAAATCTATTAAAAACGTACGATAAATATTTTCTCGAGAAATTGATGATACTCTATTAAATAAAGTTTTACAAAATTTTGGCAAAAAAATATAAGAATATATTATGATTTTTTTTTCATATTTATATAAACAACTTCAACGAATATTATTATAATAAATTTTTATTTATAAATTTGTTAAAAATATCATGTTTGTATCGTCAAATGTTTTTTTTTTAAGTTTTGTAATTTTTTTTTCATATTGTTTATCATTAATAAAGTTGGAAAAAATATAAATTAAAAAAAAAAACTTTAAAAAAATAAAGATATATATGTTTTTTTAAGCTAGAAGATGTCTGAAGATGTTAGAAGACTCTGGTCCACATCTGCGCCAAGAAGAGGGCGCGCAGACATTTTTAGGTCTGCAGTCTTCAAAAAAACAAACAGTCTGCGAAGACTAATGTCTGCGCGTGGTCTGCGCGGCGCAGACAGAAGACGTCTCGCAGATCTGCAGACAAAAAACAAACACTACCTTTGACTTTCTCTCACCGTGTACCTATGTCGTATTTCTCTTCACACATATTTTCAATCATACTCTCACCCCTTTCTTCTTAAGAACCCTAAAAATTATTTTTTACATTTTCTTACGATCAGAGGTTCTAAAATCTAATTTACCCTAAAATCAGTTGTAGAGAACTGAACGGAAGGCCTATCAGAGTTATGGGAATTACAGGCCCACCTTATGATGCAACTCGGACTTGTCAGAGTCCAAAGAAGCTTGAAATCGATGGTTCCTTTGTTATCGAATTGGGTTGTGGAAAGAAGTTAATAGAATGGTATATATTCACCGCCAAGAGAAGTGTCAATGGGTGATTCAGGGCATTGGTATTATAAGATTTACTATTGTCGATGTCGTATTATACAGGGCATAATAGGATGGATAAATAGATAGGATCCAACTAGGTAGGTTTGAGACCAAATTCTCAGGGCATGATGTTGGTGCCTGAGGTTGTTTGTCGGCATCGATCTTATTTCTTCGATGCCCGATGTTCATCTCGAAAGTTTCGAGTAAGAGATTGTAGAGGTGTAAAAAAGAGAGAGATATGTGTTAGCTTACATTCGTTCTTCATACTTCAAACATGAGACGAAGGAGTGGGATGGGGTGAACAATTCTCAATTGTTTGGCTTTTGGTAGCCTTAAAGGAAGCGAGTGATAGGATTGGGTTTACGGGTCAGATTGTTCGTCGGTGAAGCTTCCATTGAAGACAACCATGGAGATTTAAGGATGATCTTAGGCCAGTAAATAAAGAGTGAGAAACAGAGATGAAGTACATACTACTAGAGATAGTTGAATTTCGAGGTGGACTTCATAACCTCGTTTGTTTGTCGGCAAAGCAACAAGTTGTGATCATCGACAATAGTAAATCCTTGAATGAGTGATGGTGATTACAAGTGTCGTATTATACACCCTTACCACCGCAATTGCAATTCTACTCATATCTATGTTCTCAGATGTTTTCGCACCTGTACTGCTAGATTATGATTCATATATGTAGCAGCCATCAGATTTTTTTGAGATGTTTAGTGATGAAAATCCAAACGGGTATGCGTGTGTTTGAATTGTAGGTTTTCAATGAGTTTATGTATATACATGTGTATGCGAGTGTTTAATTTTCTATATATATGATTTATGTTGATCGGTTGCGGGTTTTTATTATAGACGCCATATGGGTGATCATAGATAGATTGACGAAGAGTGCCCACTTCATTCCAATTTCCGAAAGTATATCCGCTGAAAATTTGGCACACACACACACACACACACATATATATATATATATATATATATGTATGAGAGCTGGTGGCTAGATACGGGGTGCCGGTATCAGTGGTCTCCGACAAGGATGTCCGGTTCACTTCCAGATTTTGGAAGAAATTCCATGAGGAGTTGGGCACTTAGTTACATTTCAGCACGGCGTACCACCCTCAAACCAACGGCCAAAGTGAGAGGATGCTCCAGACGCTGGAGGACATGCTTATAGCATGTGTGCTAGATTTTGGAGAGAGTTAGGATACATACCTCCTACTAGCAGGTTCTCGTACAACAACAGTTATCATGCCAGTATCGACTATGCTCCATTCAAGATGTTATATGGACGGAGGTGCAGGACCCTGGTGTGTTGGGATGAGGTTGGACATCGGGTCATGGGGAGTACTGAGGCAGTGCTCAAGACTACCAGACTGATTCAGCAGGTGCATGACCGGTTACAAGCCGCATAGAGCCGTCAGAAAAGTTATGCTGACTGGCAGCGTTCGAACCTCGAGTTTCAGGTAATGGATTTTGTACTGCTAAAGGTGTCGCCCTGGAAAGGGATTTTCAAGTTTCGAAAGAGGGGTAAGTTGGGGCCCCGATTTATAGGCCCGTTCAGGATCATGGCCCGAGTGGGCAAGGTGGCATATCATTTAGAGTTTCCAGAGGAGCTTATTCAGATTCACAACACCTTCCATGTGTCCCAGCTTCAGAAGTGTGTTGCTGACGAGTCCGTAGTTGTTTTCTTGGATGACATTCAGGTGGATGGGAGCATGAATTATGTCGAGAAGTCGGCTGCCATCTTAGATAGGAAGAAGAAGGGTCTTCAGAACAAGGAATTGAAGTTGATAAAGGTGCAATGGCAGCACCGAAAAGGCTTCGAATGGACTTAGGAGCCGGAGGAGGATATGCGGGAGCATTATCTCGATCTATTCGTAGTTATGGACTTCGAGGACGAAGTCTAGCTCAAGTGGGGGAGAGTTGTAACACTCCAAATCATGTATGACCTTGTAGCCCTTGAAGTATTAATAATATCTTACAAGAGACCCTTAAGTACATTGGGCGTGCTTATAAGTACCCTTAGCGTACTTGGCAAGGATGATCGCAGAGGGATAGCACGTATGTTGGGTGTGCGTGGGGTACGTTGGGCGTACGTGCCAGGATGTTCAAACACTAATGTTCGGACTTGAAACCTATATAAACGCCCTTAACTCCTTTGAGCCTCACCCTTAACATCCTCCCTCGCCTTCAAAAGCCTCTGAAAACCCTAATATCCTTTATGAGTGCATTTTGAGCCTTGGTAGTGAAATTGTGGTCCTTTTAGTGTTCATCTAAGAAGAAGGAAGTGGTCAAGGAAGCTTGGAGTGTCTTTAGCTTCAAGAATCTACATATAGTCGACCTTGAGAAGTTCCCGGAGGTAAAAAGCTTGAATCTTTACACTCAAATCTCTAGATCTAGTTAGGGTTTCTAGTTTGGTTGCTTTTTGTTGATTTTGGACCTTTTCTTAGGAGTTAAGCAACTCCAGAGAACGAAAATGACAGATCCGAGGTCCCTTAGTCCTGTTTCAACACAAAAATGGAGTCTTCGTGGAAGTGATGGCCTCATGCATGGGTTAAGGACCTTGGAAAGGTCTAAATGGGGGTGTTGGGTGTTTATGAAGCATGCAAAGGCATAAAGTTGCAAACTTTATGCCTTATGACGTATTAAATAACTCAAATCTGGCTTTTGGACGTAAAGGAATCAGGTATTAAGAACTTAATGGAGAAAGCGCTTGATCTGGTTGTATGCTGGGCGTAACCCAATGTACACCGCACGTAGTCCCAAATCCCAGTACGCCGAGTGTATGCAGTGCAGATTGGTCGAATCTGTTTTGGGCCTTTGAGTTATTTGGACCTCATTGGATTATTGAGCATAGTGTATTCTGTGAATTATGGACTATTTTATCTGTTATTGGCCATGGATTTACTAGTTGGGCCTTATTGGGCCAAGAGGCCCATTAGTAATTTTAGGCTTGGATTTTTGGCCCAATAGCAAGGGAAGGATAATTGGGCCTCATGGGTGGGTTTGGAGTTTAGGTTTTCTTTGACTAATCTAAGGTCCTAACATTGATTAATATTATTATTCAACTCGGGAGGTTTCAGACTGTTAGGAGAGCAGTTTTTGCATTCAGTAGACAGAGGTGGGTCTTCTCACCATACTAATGGGTCT